CTGTTCCCAGGCCCTGACCCAGCCCCTCCCGGGGTTTCCCTTTCCTGGGGAGACGTTTCCACCGAGTCAAAACTTCCGGATTTTCTGAGGCAGCAACACCTTCCCAACCCCCCCCCAATCCAAACAAACCCTGGGACTTGAGTGCAGAGCAGAATTCCCGCTCTGACAGAACCAGAAAGGAAATTTTTTTCCTTGGTGGTTTTTTTTTCCCCCTTGATTTTTTTTTTTCCCTTGGGTAAAGTCCAACTCCACCACTCCAGGGGTTATTTTTACCCGGACACATTCCCAGCTCCAGAGCAAGGATGTCCCACGTGCCACAGGCACCGTTATCCCTGGGAGGCTTTCTGGGATGATCCCGTGGCGCCAAGGATGAGGGTGGAATGTCAGCAAAGCCCTGCTGGGGGATAAATCGGGATCACAGCTTTCCTCAGCTGTCCAAAACCCAGGGCCCAAGTTGCCCTTCCTGCCCTTTCCCTTGGAATGAGTCACACGGGGGGAAAATCCTCCTGAAAGAAGGAATGACTTCCAGGAATAAGGTTTCCTAAAGTGCCCTCAAAAATGGGTGTTGAGGCTGAGAAACGAAGGAGTGTTTCGCTCCAGGTGGATTATTTCCCACCCAGGCAGTGGGAGATCGCAGCTCACACCAAAACAACTCCCAACACGTCCCCAGAACGTCCCCCAAAACACGAACAAAGGCCGGTGGCTCTTACCTCAATCATTATATGAAAGGCATGCTTGGAGAGAGGAGAGAACAAGGCAAGAGAAGTTACTGTTTACACCCAGGACGGCAGGAAAAAGCAGGTTAGAGGAGATAAAGTCAGTCAGTTGTGAATTGTCTCGTGCCGGCGACCCCATTTAAAATCAGAATAAAAAAAAAACCAACAAAAAACCATCGTTGTCGTGTCAGCCCAGAAAATGTGGAGAGCGGGGTTATTACAGGCACGATCAGCAGAGATATCTGACGGTCACAGCCCGAAATGTCCCGCTCCAGCGGGCGGGAACACGCCGGGAATTGCGCTTCCCAAGGGAAGATCCCTGCAATGCCCCCCCGTGCCCACGAGGGGGCAGCGCCGCCCCGCCGGAATTCCCGGCGCTCGGCTGGGAATGCCCGGGCTGGACGGGAAAAAAAAAAAAAAAGTTGGGAATTTCGCGGCCCAGCAGGTTGGGGGATCCCCGGTTGGGTTTGATTTCAAGACAAGGCCCCGCATTAAAAGTCCTTCCCAGCGGGGCCCGGCAGGAATTTACAGGCTGGGCAGCAAAATCCACCCCAAACCCACGTCCCGCAGCACCGAAAATTAAAACTCATTTTAATTTGGTTTGTTCTGGTTGTGCTGCTTTCCTGCCTTTGACTGAACAGCCTCAGGAGTGAGTGCTGAACTGGGAATTATCCGAGGAACTGATAACTGAGGGATTTCCAGGAGAATAGGTTGGCTGGGAGCTGGATTTATCCATCCAGGAGCACTGGGATCCACCGGGATCATCAGCCCTCCTGCTGTCAGGCAGCACAACACCCACAGCCCCTTTCTCAATCCTACCCAGCTCCCAGGGAGGATGTGAATCCCTCAGGAACGACCAAAAAGAAAAGGCAGAATTCAACCTTTTTTTTTTTTTTTTTTTTTTTGCTGTGACCAGAAGAATAAACTGCAAAAAAACAAAAAGTGAATTCCCTGCTGAACTTCCCCCTGGAGCAGCTCCCCCCAATCACTGGGAAATGGGACACATGGGGGGCATTTTGAGAGGATAAATTTGTGCTCCTTTAAACCTTCTGATTTCCAAATCCCTGCTCAGGCTTTCCCCCCAAACCCCGGTGTCACCGCTTTAGGTGGTGCCAGGCCACGGAAGAAATGCCAGGATGAGCTTTCCCTGGCAGGAATTAACCCCTCAGAAATAAAAAAAACCTGGGAGCAGTGAAATACCTGCCACCCCTCCAGACGTGCATGAACACACCCACTTCCTCTTTCATGCTGCCTGAAAACCAACTCTAATAAGTTTTAATACAAATATCCTTAAGAATTAGACCGACTGAATCAGTGCAAAGGCCCGGAGTGACCTGAAGTTCACCACAGAAACACTTTCCAAAAACCGGTTTTTGATTTTAATTGTGCTTTAATTAAGAAGTTCCCTTCAGGTCCCCGTTCAGGGGAGGATCATTTGAAGTCTGGGTTTGTATTTACTTGCTTGGAACAGCCCTTGGATTCTATTAGGGAAAATAAAAAAAAGGACTCAGTTTGAAGCTGTTCACATCCAGGACTAAATCCTTGTAAAAAAACTCTCTTCTCTGGCATTTTTTTTCCAGGGTTAAAATGTTTTTATCTAGTATGGTTTTATCTAATAAAATATCTAGAACGAGAAAAAACTGTGGCAGGAAGCCCAAAATGGGGAAAACTTGAACATTACTGGATTTAATTTCTTCTCTCTCCTGTGGATTTCCTGGGATGAAGACCATCCCAGAAATTTTCAGTGCATCAGGTGGACCTGGGGGTAATTTAGGGAACAAAAAGCCAGGAGATGATCCACTGAGGACAGTCCTGGTGTGACAGTGAAGGGAGTCATCCCTCATCCTCCTCTTTTTTTTGGGGTGAAGCCAAGGCTGAATGTCCTTTTTTCCAGGGAATGCCTGCTGTTCATCTGACCCATCCACTGCTGCACAAACACTTCAAACCCGATCCATTCGCCTCCAACCCCTGCTCCTGCCCTAATTATTAAATCTAATATTAACAGTTAACATAGTAATTGCACGATTATTTCCATGCTTAGTGGTTATAAAGTTACCAACACTTTTCCCTCTCTTCACACTTCCTGTGTTTCCTGCTCCAACCGGCTTGCAATCAGATGATGGAAAGTGGGAAACGCTTTGTGCCTTGGATTTGCATAATAATTTCATTCGGCTCTTCAGGCAGGAGGAGCTTTTCCTGCCTTTCCACCTGGGCCCTTTAATGCCTGTTCACCACGAGGGCAGAAAAGGCTGCCCCACCACAACCAGCTGGGGCAGCAGCACGCTCTGATCCCAGCAGATACCATCTGGGCATGGGCACAGCAGGTGATTACCCTGCTTATTACAAAACCTGGGTGTCCCTCCTGCACCAGGAGGAGGAGGGAGAATCTCACAGCTCTTGGGATTCAAACCCTCACCGGGCTTTTCCACCCCTTCACCTCCTCGGGGAGGAAACCCCAGGCTGAAACGATCCCCCACAATCAGCAGCCAGGGCTCTGATCCTACAGGGAGAGAGACCACTGGGCTTGATGGGAAGTTCCCAAATCCATCAAATCTGGGCGGGATGAACTAATTATGCCGACAGCTTGAGGAGCTGCGATCGGCTCCTCACGGACAGCAAACAGACTTCCCTCCCTAAATTATGTGCTTCTCACTTGGCAACAACATATGGCCACTGCCTGTCCCCAAATTTGTCTGATCTATTACCGTGGAACTGAAACCCAAACAACTGATTTAGCGGGCCCAGCCAAATCCTGGCTTGCTGGAAAAGCCTCCGGCCGAGCGGCGGCGGCGGCGGCGCTGGAAAACACGGAGCACGGACACCCAGCCTCCCTAAATGCAGCCCTCCCCAAAATAAACAAGTGTTTTCATCTCATTTGATCGCAAATAGCAGCAGCATTTATGAGAGGACGTGTATTCTGGTCACTGCAGCGAGTTAGGAAGCTCAAGGGAATTCCCACTCCAAAAAACCCCAAGTCATTTCTTTCTCCGCTTCCACCGCTTTTTCTTCCGAATGCACCTGTATCCCAGGTCCACAATTCCTCAGCAACAGCTCATCATGTGTTAGGTGCTGTTTCCCATTCCCCTCAAGCTGCCAAGATGAATCAGCAGCTGCAGTTTTAATCTCAGCCCTGAGCACTCGAGCAGTCCCTCTTGGGTGGCGTCTTGGCCACCTCAAACC